AGAAGAGCTGAAGGAAAACCCATGACACTCCAGGCCTTCAGCTAAGAAAGACAGAGGATGGAGGCAAGAGAGAAGCGAGATCCTACCCCAAGGCTTGAGCTAAGGAAGAGAGTAAGCAGGGTAGAACAGCTCTAAGGCAATATTTGCTTGTAGGAAAAGTCTTGATTCTGCCTTCAAAATATTTGAAGCCAGTAGTGAATTTAATCAAACTAAAAAATTACAACAAAGCCCAAATCCAGCTCAACTATAGATCATATTGACTTAACTCCAATTCTAGTGGCCATATAGGAGAAGGTGTGTGGCTCTTTTTGGAGGAAAATATCATTTAATTCATTGTCTACTGTATTTTTATATAAAATGTCCAACACACAATAAAAAATATCAAGATACACACAAAAGCAAGAAAAAGTAACTCATAGTTAAGAAAGGAAACCATCAATAGAAGTTAACCGAGAAAAACCCAGATTTTAGAATTACCACAGTATGACAAAAATGCTAAAGGACTTAAATGAAAAGGTGGAAACCATGTATGAAGATGGGGCAACTTCAGAAAAGTGACAGAAGTATAAAAAAAAGGAAGTGCTAAAAATAAAAACACAGTATCAGAAATAAAGAATTAGATGCGCTTAACAGTAAGTTGGACAATACAGAGGAAATAAACTTGAAAAGAGATAAATAGAAAGCATCCAAATTGAAAGTCAGAGGAAAAAAAGGATAAAACAGAATAGTTGAGATCTATGGAAGAATGTCATGTGCTCTAACATTTGTATTACTGGAGTAACAAAAGGAGAGGAGAGAGAGAATGGGCAGAAACAATATTTGAAGAAATAATAGATGAGAATTTTCCAAAACTAATGAAAGATATCAACTTACAGGTCCAAGGACTGCAGCCAACAGCACGAAGAATGAATCCAAAGCAAACCACACCTAGGCACATCAGAGTCAAAATTCTGAAAACCAAATTTAGAGAGTGGATCTTAAAGGCAGCCAGAGAAAAGAAGACACTGTAGAGGGGGAGCTAAAATATGAACTACAAATGACTTTTAATCAAAAATAATGGAGACAGAGAGGGAATGATATGTTTAAAGTGCCAAAAGGGAAAAAAAATTTGTCAACACAAAATTTTACATACAGTGAAAATTATCCTTCAAAAATGAATGTGAAATAAAGACTTTCTCACCAGACAAAAGCTGAGAACTTTCATCTCCAGCAAGAAATGCCAAAAGAAGTTCTTGAGGCCAAAGAGAAATGATCCCAGATCTGCAAGAAGAAATAGAAAAGTTCCAGAGAGGATATATATCTCGGCAGATTAAAAAGAGACGTATATTCTAGTACCTTCATTATATACATATATTTACAATTTTTTAAATATCAAAAAAACCCTACGTATGGTGGGTTTTATAACATATGTAGAAATAAAATATAAGAAAGTATAAGACAATATTATAAAGGATGGGAGAGGGAAAATGGAATTATGCTGTTGTAAGTTTCTTATATATTCATAAAATAGAATAATATTATTTGAAGATAGGCTGTGATAAAGACGCAAATTGTAATTTCTAAGGCAGCTACTATATTTAACTTAAGAAGAAAAGCTAGAGAGACCATTTAGGAATTTAAATGGAATGTGAAAAAAATACTCAAATTTACCTAAAACATGTCAGGAAACAAGGGATAGAGAAATAACTGACAAATGGGAATGAATGAATGGATAGAACTTCCCTCAACCAACTGAATGGCTTTGGAAATTGCTTTTGCTACAGACTTGATAATGTTTTTCATGAATTCAATCTAAAACTACAAGGCAAAATACAGCCACACGTGAAGCTTACACTGCAGTTAAATCATGTCAACACAACTAACACTGTTTGAATCACAAATATTATCAAGCTGCTTTATACACGTCCCTTGCTGTCAAAAGTTAAAACAAGAAGCAAGATCTCCATCCCAACACAAATTTGCAGCAGTTATGTTTTTCTGAACACAAACTACAGTTCCAACAGTGGTTTTTGGATTTTGATGCAAGAGAAAAGGAAATTTCCATATTTAAAATCCACTTAACTGTGCAACTTAGGCGCTTCCAGCTAACCTTCAATTGGAAGTGATGAATCGGCAATGTAATGGCATGCTAAAGAGGAAATATCAAGAGAACTGATAGAATTCTAACAGAATTGTATAAATGCCTTCTAAGCAATGAATATGCTTAAGTAAAATCATATGCCCATGAATTGATATATTTGGCAGTACCTATCTGGGTGAAAAGATATTTTGAAAAATGAAATATGTAAAATCTCATGATAGAGCAGCATGAACAGATAACCATTTGCAATCAATTTTCACGACAGAGAACATTACTGAGAACCGGGTTCGACTAAGTGAAATGTTATCCCCCTAAAAGAGTTCCATTCCTCTCATTATTAGACGTGTATTATAACTGTTATTGTTACATCTTACATTTTGTCAATAAAAAAAGGGTAAATATTTGTTTTCTCTCATGTTATATAAGTATCTATATATTGTCCTCAATTTTGCCTCTTGGTGCACAAAGCCTAAGATATTTGCTATCAGGCCCTTTACAGAAAGTTTAGCCAACACCTGGCTAAACTCAATGTTTGCCACAGCTGCCATTGTATATTTTGCTTTGGAACCACTATATTCTAATTTAAACTACCATTCTATGAGTCACTTGAAGAAGGTAAGGAGGAGATAGGATGGAAGTTGAGAGTTAATTCAGTCCTGAGGTTAAATAATTGTAGCTAACATTAATTGAGCACATATCATACGTAGGAAGCACTCAGGTAACAAAGTACTTTATATATATTTGCTCATTTAATACTCACAAGAATCCTATGAGATAGATACTATTCCCCACACTCAGCCCACCCTCCTTGTACAGAAACTAAGTGTGTTGCCAAAGATCATATAGATAAGTAAGTGACAGAGAGGTTTATAGGATTTAACCCAGCAACGGGACATCAGAACTAATGTCTGCAACAGCAGTCCAGGGATCAAACACAGATAATTGTTGGGGGTGGGGGGGCGTGCAGCAGGTGGTCCAAAGCAGAGGAGTTGGTGTGGACTTGAGATCTCTTGGAGAGGACAGGACTACCAGGTGACAAACTGCTGAGGTCCCTGTAGGCTCACAAAAACCCATTATTCCCACCTTCCCAGCAACAGGACTCTTTCCCATCCCAACCCCTTTAATAAATTCTGGTTCAGAGTGTTCTTCTGATGAGCGTGTGAAACAGTCTGAACACATTTTATTATGTGGAGAGGTGAAGGAAAGCGGGTAGGAAAAATCCTAGGGTAGGATGGAGAGGATCTGGGAAATCTGTCCTGGTCTCTATCTCTCTCTATACACATTGTATATATGTATATAATGTATACATTACGTTGTAAATATAATGTGAATTTATACACATTATATTTACAAATATGTATTTATATATTTGTAATATAATACACGTCCATACATTAAACTCCTATGTATGTATTAGCAGGGTTTAGAATTTAAACATAATTATAATGTTCTCAGTCTTCTGCAGAGCATTTTAAAAGACTATAAATAACAATAAAAATAATAGAGTGATCAGACCATATGTACTCAAGGCTAGAACCCTCAGCCCCACCGGCTTTCACTTCCCTTCAATTGTTTTTCCAACCAAAGATTCCTCCCCTGGCAGGATCCCAGGGTCATCCAACAGGCCAGTGACGACTTCAGAGAAGCGGTCCTGGGGAGCGGTGTTATCTTCAGGAACACGTCCCGTCAACTTTGTAGTCGAGTCACCTATTTCGGTTGGTAGCAGCCGCTATTTCTTTAAATGGACAGCGGATTTCGAAACCGGGAGGAAGGGGGGGTCAGGAAGAGGAACCCAACTGCTTTTGATAACTGCCCAGCAGCCTTCCCTTCCCCAGATCGCGTGCTCCGCCGGGGAAGCGCCTGCGGCGGCCGCATCCCCCAGCTGGCGCGCGCGGCGCCGGCTCGTTTCGGGGCGCCCACCTTCGCGGGGAATCCCCCCACCCGGGCGTCCCCCTGCGTCTGCGGCGCGGCGGCCCGGCTTTGTCTCGGGCGTCGCGCTCGGGCGCTCGCTCTCCCCACATTTCCCGGTGTGCAGGCTGTAACCCGATCTCCCATTTCCTGGTGGATTCTCTTAAAGAGGCAGCGGTCGAGAAGCAGAACAAAGGCTATTGTTTTATTTCCTCCTTTGGATTCCGTGTCCTTACCGGAATGTCCCTTCGTATATAATTATTTTCACTGCGTCTGCGCTTAGGGGAAAAAACCCAAACACCTTGTGCATTTCAATGCATCTAGGAGAGGGAGCTGGGGAAGGTGGGGGGCGTTTAATAAAACCTGTTCTGTGGTGTCTGGGGCCCCAGTGTAACGTTTTTTAATCGTATCTTCCTTGAGCGAGGCGATCGTTGGGCTGAGCTTCGGAAGCCCCGCTCCGGGCCGGCGGAGGGCTGGCGGCGGGGAGAGCGGGCGCCCGCGCGGGGGCCGCGCTGC